GAGGGAAGGGTGCCACTGAGAACTCTGGGATCTAATCCTGAAGCTGGGCTCCCCATTAGATAGCACCAAGCTGAAGAGAGTACCACATAACATCTAGCTGGGAAAAGCAGTGGGGTGCTGTCTGCCAGGTAGTGGCAGCTGAAAGTTTGAGCACCCTCTTAAAGGTCCATTGCACAAAAATTCCCTGTGGAGCCACCCACCTTGTGCTCAGGCAGAGGGAAAGCGAAGTGGACTGGAGCTGTGAGAGCAGACCCCAGGACTGGGGACTCAGGCGATAGAGCTCAGAAGGCAGACACCCCAAGTTTCCTGTGCTGAGTCATTCCCTCACACAGCAGAGGATGTCTTTCCCACACAGACATTTGCCTTGCCTGAGGTGGGGGAAGACAGTTGACACACCCTAGTGGAAAACACCTTGCCCTGAGGCCACTTAAGAGATTAAAAGTAGCAATTAGCCTCCAGGCAGAAGTAACTGCCCCACTCTGTTGAAAAAACTCTCACCACACATGAGGACGATTGCCTGCAGGCAATTTAAGTTATTAGTCTGTAGACAGAGGCGGTCTCTGGAGGCTTTGAGTCTTTGCCTAATCCAATTAGTCAGAAACAGCCTTTAACACTGTCCTGCAGTAGAGATTCAGAGGGGTAGAGGGCCTACCAAATACATAGTCACAAACCCAAACAGACAACCAAAATGAGGAACCAAAGAAACAACCCCCAAATGAAAGAACTAGCAAATTCTCCAGAAGAAATAAATGTAGCAGAGATAAGAAATTTATCTGAAACAGAGTTCAGAGTAATGATGTTAAAAGTGCTTAACAGTATGAAAAAAGGTATAGTAACTATGAAAAAAAAGTAGTCTGAGATAAAGAATGACATAACACAAATAAAGAACACATTGGAAGGAATACACAGCAGATTAGGGGAAGCTGAGGATCAAATCAGTGAATTAGAAGACAGAGTTGAAAATATCACTCAATCAGAAAACCAGCCGAAACCGGTTTGGCTCAGTGGATAGAGCGTCGGCCTGCGG